TTTTTTCACGCAGGATAAAATAGAGATTATTTTTGGCTTCTCGAACAAAGAAAAGGAGCTTACAAAAAAAACCCCACAACCAACCCCAACCCAACAAACCTCTCTGCATCAAGGCTCAGCCTCCGATTCCCAGGTTGGCCAGAGAAGCTGTGGCTGTTCCTCCCTGGAAGTGTTCTCGGCCAGGTTGGATGAGGCTTTGAGCAACCTGGTCTAGTGGAAGGTGTCCCTGCTGCTGGCAGGGGGGTTGGGACTGGATGAGCTTTGAGGTCCCTCCCAACCCAAACCATTCCATGATGCTATGATTTTGTGCCCAGAATCATTAAATCAGGTCCTCGACCATCAAAGTGACGCTCTGGCCAGCGCTGGGCTCACACGTGGAGGGGGTTGTCCCTGCACAGCCCCAGCTCGTCGCAGCCCTGGGCAGGTTTGCAGCCCCGTTTTGCTGGAGAACAAATCAAGAGTGGAGCTGGAGGTGGCACTTTCTCAGCTTTTTTTTTGTCCCCAAATGACATTCATACATAAATTGTGATCTGTGTCCTGTTCCAACACCTCCCTGCCCACCAAGGGCACCTTGTTGGATCTGCAGAGGTTGTTCAGGTGGAACCCTCACTCCTCTTTCACTGTTGGAGCAGATGCAGCTCTGGTTTATGCCACACAATGGGAGAAAAATCAGAAGTTCAACCCCTTCCCAAACACCACGGATGGAGAAACCTCCTGTCCACCTTCCTTACACCTGTGGTGGTGGAGCATCAGCTCCATAGCAAGCTCTTCTCCAGTGTGTATTAACCCAAAGACCCCATCTACCCCCTGAGACCTTTTCCCATCCCAACCTCCTGAGACCTCCTCCCATCAAAACCCCTTGAGATGTCCCACCCCAACCCCTTGAGACCTCCCATCCCAACCTCCTGAGACCTCCTCCCATCAAAACCCCTTGAGACCTCCCATCTTAACCCCCTGAGACTTCCCATCCCAACTTCCTGAGACCTCCTCCCACCACAACCCCCTGAAACCTCCCATCCTAACCCCCCTGAGATCTCCTCCCATCACAGCCAACCCAGCTCAGAGTGACTGACAAGGTCAAGGCAGATCCTCATCCTCTAGATCCAACTCAGAAAAGCCAAGAGATGTGACATCTCCCACCAGGGAATAAGAAGTAAATGACTGTAATAAATAGATTTGCTATTTGTGATATTAAGTGGCTCTTCTGCTCTCCCCATGGGGTGTCCTGAGTAGGACAGAGCTGGACCTGGACACATGGCAGTGCCACATTATCCTTCAGACCATGCAGAGAGCAACCACCTCTTGTTCTGGTGGACCATCCCTGAGGATCTGTGGCAGATGGAGAGGGGACAGGATGTCCCAGGACAACAGTGACATTCGTGTGAGCTGGTGGGTTGTACTGAAAGGAGGCGAGTAAGTGTCTGTGCCAAAGTTCAGCTCTCCTGGGACTCAGAGGGAAGGCTGAATTCCAGCCATGGAGTGGAGCTGGGATCACTGGGGGTTTTGGAGACCAGCTTATGGGAAGAAACTGAAAGGACTTGGCTTGTTTTGTAACCGAGTAGATGGCAGAGCGGGGGGTCAGACACATCCAGGACTGAAGGCTGGTGAAGAACATCTACAGAGAGTGTGAAACCCAGAGATAGAAACAGGCTCAGGCTGACCAAGATGTGCTTTCAGCCCACCAAAGGATGTGGTTTTGAGGGGACCCTTTTCTAAAGAAACCTTGGCCTCCAATCCCACAAAAGAGCTCCCAGTTGAGGTCCTACAGCCTCTCTGAAGTTACTGGTGTGCCTCAGCCCTGTTATTCCAGGCGATGGACTCCCTGCTTCCTTGCTCCCTGCCCATCCATGGGTTGGCAGTGTCCTTGCTTTCTTTATTTTCACCTTTCCTTTCTTTCCAAGGTGCAAGACCCATCCCCACAGGAGCCCTGCAAACCATCCCCACAGGAGCCCTGCAAACCATCTTCCAGGCTCAGATCTGCTGAGGACACCAGAGCACTGGGGACATTTCCTACCTCAACCAGAAAAAAAGCTACTCAGAAAAGATGGATGTGAGTAGCGAGAAGGTGGAGGAAAACCAGGAGAAGAGGTGGGCAGAGGGGCTGGGACATGGTGGGAATTCAAATCTTCCATCTGGTGGCTTCTCACTAGGCTTTTTTTTTTTCTCTGCATATTTAAAGTCTGAAATTTTCACAGATCTGTCAAAACGAGCCCTAGAAAACCCCCAGCTAGCTGGAGAAGCAAAGTTATTAAAACCACTTTGTGGACTCCTGACCTTTCCATGAAAAGTTGGTGTTAATATTCTTCCAAAAAATAAAAAAAAAAAACCAAAACCCAAAAAAAACCAAAAACCAAAAAAAAAAAAAAAAACCCCACTCACTAAAAGAACAAATTGAAATGTTTAAGGGGAAAAAAAAGAGTCTTGCTACAAAACATCCAAATCTGGGTAAAAAAATAGCTCACTGGAGCAGTTTGGGGGGCTCAGCTGCTCCTTGCAGCAGATCAAAGCTCATTGTATTTCTCTTTTTGCTCAAGGATATCAGCAACAATACCAACCTCCACTTCCTTCACCCAAACCCATTCGCTGGCAAAATTAAATTAAACCATTTTGGGAGAGTTTTTTTGGGTTTTTTTTTTTTTTTTTTTTTTTTTTTTTTAAAAAAAAAAAAAAAAAAAAAAAAAAAAAAAAAAAACCCC